AGCATCTAAATCAATGTAGTTGTGTTTTTCATTTTTCAACGACCTTTCTATACAGTGTACTGCAAAAATTACATTTTTAATTCAAAATAAATCATAATCCATTTTGTTCTCAACATGACGTATCTAAACAAAATACTTATTTTCACTCATATCTTTAAATATCAAAATAAGCAGTGTAAACATATGTTGTCTAGACAGTGTTATATTTATTTTGAACCAACTTTACAATCTTTTACAAACTTTTAGCAGTATATTCCAATTGTTTTGCATACTTCTTGTTTTATCTCCTCTAAACTTTGTACACAATAAGTGGGTACATGTATATCTGAACTTAATTAATTCTACAAGTGAGTGATCTGCTTTGGCATTTAAGAGTAACCTGTCATGTTATTGGTATTTCACACAACTGTAGAGACATCATTGTATTGTTAAGTTTAAAGACATGTGACAGTTGAGTTTAATATTGTTAATACTGTGGATGAATAGTAAAGAGACGAAAATTTAGTCCTGAGCTTGTTCTTTGCAAGACAAGAAGCGAAAGTTCACTGATTTACCACACTTCCTACCCTATACAACAGTGCCAGTCTTATACAAATAACCCAAATACAAATAACGCTATTACCGTGACCTCAAAACATTAAATTACGCAGGGAGTGTCCTGTTGAAAAGAGCAAATCTCTCAAATGTTTTTCTTTGATTGCTTCAATGCATTTTACTTCTAGCAGAGTGGATTTGTAACGATACAATCATTGTCTCTGTCAAGGTCATTCATTAAGTTGTGACATAGCAATGAAAATAATGTTCTGGTATTTTACAAGTTGTGATAATAAAACAGAGGGCATTGTCCTATACATCTGTGTGTGGTAACTGATCTACTTACATATTACAGTGTTTGTCACTTCATTATATACTTGAAGTTTTGTGATTGAATGCACAGTGAAACTGAGATAAAAGTATGAACTTACATGTGGATCAGTTTGCAGATTTTAACTCTGATATGTCTTTAACAAGTTTATCTTTATGATCTGGTCTGAGAATTAATTTTAGCAAAGTATTGTATGTGCTAAATCATTTACATACGGTAGTTTAACCTTTTCCCAACCATTTCCTATTTCATCACAAATTCACAAAAATAGTCATATTTATAGTATGTACTTTCCTTCATAAGCAACATTTTTTTAATAAAACTGATAATTGACTCAAATTTTGTCTGTTGGCTCTAAAATTAGGGTTCATTTCCAGAAATATTAAAAAAAAAAAGATAAGAAAAGTGCAGAAAAATTTCGGCAAGAAAGTCTGGTGGTGAAAAGGTTAATTTCTTCAGGGGTGCAAATTAGTCAGTGTGAAGGTTGAGTGAATTATATGTGAACTGACCGCCATGTTGGCTGGGCTGGCTAGGTTTGCTTGACTGTATGAAATATCTGTGT